GGATTCCGGCGGGGGTGCCCCGCCCCCCTCGAGCGCGCCGGAGTTAACCATTTGTGGGCCGCGCGCAATAGACAGATCGTTCTCTAAAATGCCTAGGGGACGTGCAGCTGAGCCCGGGCGCCCAGAGAAGGTGCAGCCGAGACGGGGGATAGGTGGATCTGCGAGACGGAGAGCTCCGGACCTCTCCTGCAAGAGTATGTGGAGCCGACGCCGGCTCCGCGTGGCAGCCGAGGAGCTTATATTGGCACGACTGTAGGAAAAAGACTTTAATGAGGAGGGAAACAAATCATAATGTTTCCTTCTCTGGCTTCCCACCCCCGTTGCCTGGAAAGGCACCCCCGTAGAACGCTCACCCCGAGTAAAACCCTATCCCCTTCAGAACGTTGATGCACAACCCTCTTCCCTTTCTGGACGCTTGGCCTCTGGCCTCTCTCTACCCCGTCTGCCCACCGCCCCCAATTTCCCTGACCAATCTAAACCTGAACTTTTTGTATGTGAACACGGAAAAGGGCTGGATGGGGAGCAGGTACAGTGGCCGGGCTGGGGCTGGGGAGGTCTGAAGTCTCTGGAGTGGGCTTTCCAGGAATTGGGGAAGGTGGTTGCAGAAGTTAACACCACACCGCCCCCAGAACGATGCTGAACCCTACCCTCAACGTTACCAACTTGCTCTTTGACCCTAGATAGATGGCTTTCCCTCTCTGACCTATTTCTCATTAACAAATGCAAGGGATGGGTGCCAGGAGTGGTGGCACATGCCTGTAATCCCAGCTACTGGGGAGGCTGAGGCAGGATTGCAAGTTCCAGGCCAATCTCAGCAATTAAGTTAGATCCTGTCTCATAAAAGAGCAAGTGGGGAGGGGCTGGGGGATGTTGGCTCAGTGGCTGTGCACCTCTGGGTTCAATTGCCAGTTCCAAAATAATAATAATAAGAGGAAGAAGAAGAAGAAGAAGAAATGTGAGGAATGGGAGGAGATTTTTCAGGTCCCTTCTGTCTCTAAATCGTAACTGCTGAGCTGCTAAGAGGTCAGGCACCATATGAAAGTAGGGCTACAAAACCCTCAAAGAGGAGACCCTGGCAGCAGTGCTCCCCTGAGAAGCAGGTGGGCCTGGGGGTAAAGGACTTGTCCACCATCCACCTAACACCTAAGGAAGCCCTAAACAAGGAGGACTGGGGCCTCTGAGTGGCCTCCACCCCAAAACTGCCTGGCCCTTGGCCGCCCTTCTCTTCACTTGGCACCCACTGCTCTGGAAGCTCCGTCCTGCTGGGCTTTGGCTGCTGTTCTAGCAGGTGGGGGTGGGGGCTCCTCACAAAAACAGAGTTCCCTCAGTAGATTCCAGTGGGCACTGCAAAAGGGGTCTCTGAAGTCCTGGAGCCAAGGCCTTCAGGGACCCGTGCCCAGACTGGAGGAAACTCTGTCTTCTCTCAGGCCCCCGGGAAGGGGCTTGGCAAACCCTTATCTGCTGAGAAGCAGCTGCTGGAGAAATACCTAAGCAGCTGACTCACACTCTCCCCCTCTCACAAACCCTTCTCTCTGCACCCCCCCCCCCAAGGCCTGTGAGAGACCCTGAGGGGAGGGCTATGAGGAAGCACCCAGCTGGGCTGGTCCTGCCTTGCCTTGGATGTGACTTGTCCCTCTCTGGCTCTGACTGACTGGGTGGTGGGAGGGCAGAGGGTTTTATCCCATAAAGGGCTTCTGTCTGGGATCACAGTTACTCTTGTTCAGCAGACCTCTGACGTCCTGGTCCTGCTGCACTCCAGGAATTGATGGACAGTTGCTGTCCTGCTCTTTGGGATTCCAGGCCCTGTTCCTCCACCAGGATGTAATGAGGGTCTAACAGGTGAACAAGACAGAGACCTGTCCAACAGGCAATTACCAAAGAGAGGAAGAAGGGTGGTGTTTGGGGAAGGGCTGGACAGTGAGGGACTGTGGACACTTCCCTGTTCTACTTAGCTCCCTGGGCCTCTGCTCCCTGTCTGTCAAATACAAAGATGCATCTTCCATATCTCACTGGGTAATTGTGAGGATTAAATGAAATGATGCGTATGACAGCAGCTTGGAAGGTTAAAACCACAACAGAAATGCAGGATGATGATTATGATTATGATTTCCGGCAGACTGGAAGTGGGAGGTACCTACCATTGGGGTTACTGAACCCATTTTGTCCTGGATTCTCTTAACATGCTTGTTTACAGAGTAAGACCAAATCACCTCCCAGTTTGGGTTGTAAACTCAGCCCAGATCCAGAGTTTAAGGGCTGTAGTTCTCATAATAATAACAAATCAAATACCTGCTACATATATACAAGTTTTCTGTATATATGTAGCAGGTATTTGATTTGTTATCATTATGAGAACTATAGCCCTTATCATTCATTATTTTAAGAGATGAGAACTGAGGGGCTGGGGTTGTGGCTCAAGTGGTAGAATGCTCGCCCAGCAGGCATGAGGCACTGGGTTCAATCCTCAGCACCACATAAATGTAAAATAAAGATATTGTGTCCACTTAAAACCTAAAAAATAAATATTTAAAAATAAAAAAAGAGATGAGAACTGAACATTTAACAAGTATTTGGTCCTCCTGACAATGCTGTGAGGCAGGAATTATTATTTTCCCTTTAGGGGTAAGGAAATTTCTTGGTTTTGTTTTTATCCCCCCCCACACACAACCCGTTTGTTTGTTTTTTAACCAGGGATTGAACTGAGGGATGCTTAACCACTGAGCCACATCCCTATTTTATTTATAGACAGGGTCTTGCTGAGTTGCTTAGGGTCTCACTAAGTTACTGAGGCTGGCTTTGAATCCAAGATCCTCCTGCCTCAGTCTTTGGGATCACAGGTGTGTGCCACTGCACCGGGCTGGTTAAGAAATTCAGGCACAGAGAAATTAGGACACTTAACAAATAGAAAGCAAGACTCCTCATCCCTTGTTCCTCCCCGATGGACTCAAGTGGCCTTGAACCTTCTTCTCAGACAGAAGCCTTCTCTGCTTATCCCTGCTGGATTGGAACAGGCTTCTTATAGTCCAGGCCACAAAAAGCCAATGACTCTGTACCTTAAGCCAATCCCTTGACACCAGCCATTAATCCAGGGCCTAAGCAACCAACACCCTGCCTCTTCCAACATACCAGCAAATATTTTCGTTCAATAAATAATGAATGAACAAAAAGTACTTTTTTTTTTTTTCATGTAGTACTTGGGACTGAATCTGGGAGTGCCCTACCACTGAGCTACATCCCCAAACCTTTTTATTTTTATTTTGGTACAGGGTCTCCCTAAGTTCCCCAGGCTGTCCTCAAACTTGTGACCCTCCTGCCTCAGTCTCCCAAAGCTCTAGGATAGTGGCATGTGCCACTGTGTCTAGCAATAGCAACAATTCTTTACACATTTATAGTTTTTCTTTTGAGTCAGGGGTCTTGCTATGTTGCTGGGGCTGGTCTCTAACCTCTAGGTTCAAGCAAACTTCCTGCCTTAGTCTCCCAAGTTGCTGGGACTATAGGCTCTGGCCAGTGTACTTGTACTTTCCTTAGAGAGAAAAAAAGCTTATAAGCCCCTATTGTGTGTCAGTCCCTGGAATGATTTATCAGTGACACTATTTAGCATTTGTTGAGCAATTACTATGTGCCAGGAGGCTATCCTAAGGCTTTACATGTATTAACTGTTTTTATCTTCATAACAATTTTAGTGGGTAAGAACTACTATGGACCCCTCTGTACCGATAAGGAAACAAAACAGAGAGGTTAATTAACTTTCCCCAGCTCATGGAAACCAAGATTTTGTCAGATATTTTTGTTTCTAAGGAATATATTTTACATCATTATCAAGCACACACACACACAGAGATACACACACATAAATGGAGATAAAATTGTCAACAGGTATTTAATTGTTTTGTGTGCTATGTGCTCAGATATTTTTTACTCTTTTATTCAGTTGTATTTTTTTCTTAAATTCTGGTTAGAAATACTCAAGGTTCTCACTTTCATGTGAAAGTTTAAAAAGTTGGTCTCATAGAAATAATGAGTCGAATAGTAGGGCACCATGTGGAGAGGCTTTGGGGAAAGAGTGGTTACCGGGTACAGGGGTGCAGTTGGAAAGGACAAGTCACTCTAATGTCCTGCACCACAATAGGGTAAGGTGTGGTTGACCACAGTTAATTGTATATTTCAAAATAGAAAAAAAAAAAGAGGATTCCGAATGTTCCTAACACAAAGAAATGATAAATGTTTGAGGTGATAAAGATACCGATTACCCTGATCAAGTCATTACATGCAATGATACATGTACACCGTGTACATGTACTGAAATGTCACCCTGTACCCCATAAATATGGAAAATTATTATGTGTCAAGTAAAAATCTTTAAAAATATATTTTTAAAATTCTGGTCATGACCCACTAAGTTGATTTCATAACCTATTAATGAGTCACAGCTCTGAGTCATAGCTACAAGTACCCAGGGATTCGAAACCTGAGCACCAGGGCTCCAGAGCCTCATCTCTTGGTATGAAGAGTGGCTTGGGAAAGGGAGACTCTGGAGGCATGAGGACAGATGGGGAGTATGCTGATGAAGGGACTGGAGGCCTCGAGAATCCCACCAGCCTGTGTCATCCTCTGCCGACATGCCTGCAAAACACAATGCAATGTCACTAGGTTGCCTTAGAGATGCACACTTGCTCAGTTCTCCTAGAAACAGACTCAGGCAGTTTAAGTGATGTGCCAAGGTCACAGCCCGGGGTCCTGTTGTCTGGACCCATGCAGAACTCCCCCTTCAGAATGAAGCTGGTGAGGACCCCGGTGACCCAGGTGACTGGTGACAGTGGTAATGACAGTGAGAAAAATGAAAAGACCCAGTCATGGTGTGGTCCTGGGGAGGTCGGTGGCAGCGATGGTGGTTTTCATGGTGGGGGTAGAGCATAGGGAGGTGACCACACCACAGCAAGGCCTGCACTCGGTTCCCAAGCCAAGCTGAGTCCCCTCTCCTCTCCTCTCCTCCCTCCCAGCACTTTCCGGAGCACCTGGACCACTTTGTGGAGAACATGGAGGACTTCTCCAATGACCTGTTCAGCAGTTTCTTTGATGACCCTGTGCTGGACGAGAAGAGCCCCCTGCTGGACATGGAACTGGACTCCCCGGCACCGGGCATCCAGGCTGAGCACAGCTACTCCCTGAGTGGGGACTCGGCACCTCAGAGCCCCCTCGTGCCCATTAAGATGGAGGACACCACTCAGGGTAAGAGGTGGAGGGCCCAGGGACAGGGCAGGTCTGCCAGGCCCAGGAGGGCGCAGCCTCTGAGCAACAGGAGGGAGTGGCTACGGCCTGAGACTCCAGAGGAGCCACCCACACACACCTCAGCAGGTGCACCTCCCTGCTTTTGGGGTCTTCCTTAATCAAACCTTTATGGGTGCTTCTCAAAAGGAATTTTGCTGACTTAGTTCAAAAACCAGTTCACAAAGCTTGGTTCCTAGACCTGCAGCATCACCTGAGGACCTGTTAGGAGCAAATCCTTGGCTCCCAGCCCAGCCCTGCCCAGCCACGCCAGGGCCGGGCCCAGCTTCCCAGAGTTCTGTTGGGATTGAGAATCACTGACTTAGAACAACAGTGGAGGCAATTAAATAACTCATGTAGACAATAAGTTTCTAGAACTTTTTTCGCCTCCTCCTACTGAGATGTCCCTCTGAGCTGCTACCTGGGAGGCCCTGTACCCAGCTTTTAATCCTGAAGGTGGGCTCTCCAAACTCCCCTCTCTCCTGACTTCCTGTGTTAAAGCAAAGGGCTTTGGAGTCCTTCCACTCTGGTAGTCAGTGAAGACTCGCTCTGTGTCCATCTAGAAACACGGTCCTTCAATCATCCCCTCAAGTGCAAGTGGGCCTGGCTCTGTCCATTTTGGCTGAGTGATGGCGGATACCTCCCTTAACCTAGAAGCCTCAGTAGTTTCATTTAGCAGTGGGAATAACAGTGAACATTCTGAGCGCATCCTCCAGTATATAAAGTGCCTCCACGTTAATTATCTCTTTTAAGTCTCACAACGGACAAGAATGAGGCAAGAATCACTTTTATCATCATCCCTATTTGACATGTAAGAAAGATGAGACTTCATAAAAATGGAATTTTTTTTGTCTAGGTCATGCACACACTAAGATGCAAATGGAGACTTACAAGTCAGCCCCCCAATTCTATGTCTCACCCACTTCCACCACTACTGCCAGCCTCAAATGCAGCAAGAGCTAATGGGTTAGGAGCCCAACAGGATTTGCTGTGCATTCCAGTACGTTCACTGGCTTCTGGGTGACCTCAAGCAACTTTTTTAACCTCTCTGGGCCCCTGTTTCCTCAATTGTAAAATGAAAATAATATGTACTTGAAAGTTCTGGACAAATTAAAAAACATGCACATAAAGTACCCACTCAGGGCTCAGCATATAATATATATTAGTAATCAGGGCTATTTTCCCTGTACCTATCAAAGTCCTGTTAATACCATGAGTGGCTAAATCAATGAAAAGTGTTCTTGCTCCTCTTCCCCTTCAGAGGACATTGGCCTTGAGTGAGTTTCTTAACTGTCTCCTCTGATTCATGTACTCAGCGGGGAAACAGCAGTGCCTGCCCTGTGGAGTTTGGGGAAGAGGAGTAAGGTCATGAGCTTAGAGCTATGCTCTGTGCAAGAAGTTTGAGCTGTGCCCGAGGGTCTTGGAGCCCCCAGGAGCACATACAGGCCTCCATATCCCTGCCATGAGGGCAAGAGCACTTTCTAGGGGTTTACGTGGCTCTAGGGCTCATGTTGCTGAGGTCCCAGCTGGCCACTGTGCCCTGGCCTTAGGCACATCTTGGAGCCTCCGTGAGGTCTCAGGCCCCCGCCTAGGGAAGGGCAGAGGTGTGGGGTGGACCCCCTCCCTTGACAGGTTCTCTGTCCACCCCTGCTGGTCCTGCCCAACACCTCCTTGGCCACCCCAAGTCTATTTTTAAAGCAATTTGTCTGTGGGCCCTTTACGGGGACAGCTTCCCGGAGCCCAGCAGCCTGGCCCTGTAATTTGGGAAGATTGTGGGTGTTCCTGGAGCCTAGGGGCAGCCTGTGGCCTAGAGATGGGGCTCTCAGGCTCCCAGCAGGGTGGGGCCTGGCCTCTGAGGTGGTCTCCAGGAGCTGCTGACCCCTCTCCCCACCCACAGTGGGCCACAAAGTCCAGAGTCCCCTCCAGCCCTTCCCTGCCTGTGGCTCCCCATCCCCCTGCCTCACGCTGCTTCTCTGGCTGCCAGGCACTGGGGCCACCATCAGCAGGGCTGACTTGGGGTGGAGGACGGTGGGAAAGGGTGATGGCCACCAGCCCCAGGGCCCAAGTGAGACCAGAAGACCCACTCGATGGGCAGGAGGTAGACTCTGCCCTTGGGGAAACCTGAGTATCTCCCCCTAGACCTGTGGATTCTTTCTCCTCGATGTGTTTCTAGTAGGTTCTTCCCTCTCCATTCTCACTGCCGTTGCTTTTCTTTAGCCTTCCTCCTCTCTTGCCTGGGCGATATATTTCAGCAGCTTCCCATGGGTCTCCCTGCCTCCATCTGCCTGTAGCCAGTCCTGTCCCCACACGTGGGCAGAGCAGTCCTTTTTAACATCACCAATTCTAGCATGTTTGAAACGCTTCGGTGGCTTCCTATCACCTTTGGATAAAGTCACAGGTCTGGGCCCAGTCTCAAGGGCATGCCACCCGCGGACCTCCCTGCCTCCACATCCCTGGGTATGCCAGCTACACTAAGCTGCTTGAGGCTCTTGCTAGATCCCCCGCACCTGGCACAGTGCTCAGCAAATGTTTACTGGATAACAGTAATTATTTTAATACGAGCTTCCATTTACAGATCACTTTTTTCTAATCAGGTACTGTGTTATGTTTTTGATGTGCATTATATTATTTAATCCTCAAAACCTACCTGTTAGGTGTATCCTCTTCCTTTCCCCTTTTAAAGAGGAAGCTGAAACTCAGAGAGGGTAAGCAACTTGCCTAAGGTCACAGCACAGCCAGTCAGGAGGGATCCAGGCCCCCTGCCCAAGCCCTTTCTGTCAGCTGCCAAAGACATGCTCACCTTTTCTGGCCCTGGGCCATCCTGCCCTCTCACCTCACAAGGGCCCCCACTTTTCCTGCCCACCTTCTGGTGTCCCCTGTATCACTCCTCAGTCCAGCCCCGCGCAGCTCCCAGCAGGCAGGAGGGGGCTGGGCTCTCTACTCTGGGAGTTGCCTGAGCCTGGATCCTGCCCTCTCCCCCAGATGTGGAACATGGAGCCTGGGCGCTGGGACACAAGCTGTGCTCCATCATGGTGAAGCAGGAGCAGAGCCCGGAGCTGCCCGTGGACCCCCTGGCTGCCTCCTCAGCCATGGCCGCTGCTGCCGCCATGGCCACCACCCCGCTGCTGGGCCTCAGCCCCCTGTCCAGGCTGCCCATCCCCCACCAGGTGAGCCCAGGGACAATGGTAAGGGCTGAGGGAGGGGGGCGCTGGTGAGTCTGTGGAAGAGGTGCCAAAGCGCTATGCCCCCACCCCAGGACTCTGAATAGGCCATAGCGGGAACCTCAGGCCTGAGGGTCAGAAGTCACAGGCCCGGCTCTGCCTCCCCCTCGGGCTGCTCCTTCACCATCCTACAATGGGTACAAATGCTTGGAGGAAGCTGAGAACGTGCAGGGAACCAGGCAGGGGCGGCCAGGGAACCAGGCAGTGGACCAGGGTCTCAGAGATGGGGTCAGCCCAGGCCCCACCTTTTCTCATTGCTTCAGGATTTTTAAAAAGAAGGCAAAACCAAATGTAAATGCAAAAATGTGCTGTGTTTCTATCTCAATAGCGTATATCTATGAGATTAATAAAGCACACTCTCACGCCAAACCCCACCTCCACTTCCCTGAATCTGGAGATAAGGGCCTCCGGCTGGAAATCCAAGACCCTCCCTGGAATGTGCGGCCCAGACCACTGGCTGCTGGGAGAGGCCCTGCCTGGGTCCCGCTCTGCTCCTGACTCCGTTCTGGGCACACTGCATTCCCTCTTTCTTCCTCAGCTTCTTTCTCTGTACAATGGGTGCATGAACCCCCTAAAGTGCTCGTGAGCTACAGTATCATGACCAGTTTCTGCTGGCTGCAGACCCAGTGGGGAGAGGTGCTCCCCAAATCTAGCACCTAACACCACGCCTTCCTCAAAGAGACCACCGCTTGCGTGTGTGTGCTGGTAGTCACATGTGTGCTGCCACGTGTGTTCCTGAAGTCCTCTCTGGAACAAGTTTGTAATAGAAATGAATAGAAGTGCATGTTTGTTAAGAATGCAAATCTGGTTCCGTCAGTTCCCTGTGTGAACCCTGAGGGGCTCTCATTGCTTCCCTTAGGTGTCACTTGGCTTTTCCCAGCAGGAGAACCTGCCTGTTTCCTCTGGTCTGTGCCTGGAACCCCAAGCCCAGCCACTTCCTGGGCTGTGCAGGGGCGACCACCAGCCTCAGGGAGGGAGGGATGGCGGTGGACACAGGGTGGGAACCACCCCAGGGACAGCTCATGGACTGGACCTGCCTCTTTCTCAGGCCCCAGGAGAGATGCCTCAGCTGCCAGTGATCAAAGCAGAGCCCCAGGAGGCAAGCCAGTTCCTCAAAGTGACACCAGGTAAGTGTGTCCAGGGACGCTTTTCTCCTCCGGCCCACTCCTGCCCCTTGAGTCCCCACTTTACCTAAATACCCTCTCCTTCCCACCTTACCTACCCCATCCATCCATGTTCCCTCCTCTCCTTCCGGCCCTCCCTGCTCAGTTAAGGACTGCCATCACCTTCCTGCTGATCCTGCTTTCATCCGCTCACTAACCAAAGCCACTCCACAGCCACCCATCACCCTCCAGCCGACCGTCCGTCTGTCCGTCCATTCATTCATGCAACAAGAGCCACTGGGCAGCGTCTCCCAGTCCCAGTACTGGAAGAGCAGAGACTGAGGACAGTCCCTGTACTCAAGTAAACCACCGAGTTCCCAGGGTCACAGACCCAGCACCCAGCAGTGACATTGGGTGAACACATGGCACATTCCCAGGGAGCTCTGGGAGTTCATCCCCAGACCAGAATGGGGAGAGGGGACCTAGAGAAAGAGTAATGGAATCTTCCCAATCCTAGCTTATTTACAGGCCAAACACTGAATTAGTTAGAATCTACCATGTAGCAGACTAAGTACCACAAGGTCAAGAAGATAAATGGCGCCCTGGAGGTGCTCACTGCCTTGGAGAGGAGAATGCAGACAAGGTGGAAAGAGCCACCTACCTTGTGAAGTGCCTCCAAGTCCTAAAACACTTCCCATACAGGAGCTTATGGCATCTGCACGACTCTGAGCACAGTCTTTTCAGCCCATTCATCAGATGAGGGTGGTGAGGCCGAGAGGCTGGGGAAACATGTCTGAGGTCGCACGGTTAGGAAGCACTACAGTCAGGACTCTCCTGACGCCAAGTCCAGTGCTCTGAGCAGCATGGCATCCATGAAGAGCAAACAAGTGTTAAAGGAGGGGAAAATCTGGAGGAGCCAGGCCTGGGCCAAGCCCTGGGGACCGCAGGTGCCTCCTCCTGGGCCTGGCCCTGCACTGCAGGGTGAGCCAGGTCTCCACGCCTGGGATCGCCGGCATTTCAGGCTGTCCCAGGGGCTCTTCCAGCATCTATCTAGGCTCTTGGTCTTACGGCTGAGATCAAGGGCCTAGCACCCCACTTCTCTCAGTGTCAGGGCTGGGCCAGCCCCTGCTAAAATGAACTCAGCATGTCAGAGCAGAGCTGGGCGCAGACTGCTAACCTGGCTCGCCCTGCTCTTTCCAGAGGACCTGGTTCAGATGCCGCCGACGCCCCCCAGCAGCCACGGCAGTGACAGCGATGGCTCCCAGAGTCCCCGCTCTTTGCCCCCCTCCAGTCCTGTCCGGCCCATGGCCCGCTCCTCCACAGCCATCTCCACCTCCCCCCTCCTCACCGCCCCACACGTAAGGAGCTGGGCGTGGGCTGACCCTGGAGGCCAGGAACTGAGTCCATCCACCTGGCCAGTGGGGAGGGTTGGGGAGCCTCAAGTCTGATCCTACCCCATCAGAGTTCAGAGAGGTTCCTGCCTGGCAGAAGAGAAGGAGAACCTTCCAACCTGCCTCATGGTGAATAGGAAGCAGAGGTAGAGGGATGGGGTCCTAGAGGCCACCCTAAACCCACACTGTTGAAGAGCCAGGACTAGGCCAGGACTAGAATTTGACATTCCTGGGCTCCAGAGGACGACCTAGCCTACCTCCAAGAAGCACAGTCTGGTGACAACATGGAGCCAGGCCCTGAGTGTGGAGATTCCCAAGTTGAGACTGTGTGGAGGGAGCCTGTTGGGGGTCCTTCGAGTGCCTTGCACAAGTGAGCTTTGATTCTATGAATTCTGGGGTGGCATTCAGGAAGGCCTCCCCCACTATGTCCTGAGGGCCTGACATGCTGGGCTCCTGGCCCCATCTTAGCGCTTGATACGTACCGCTGGATTTAACTCAGGTCCACCTCCTGTTCAGATGAGGAAACTGAGGTTCTGAGTGGTGAGCCTACAGATAGGACGTGGCAGATCTTGAGTTTGGATGCAGGGTCGTTTGGTTCCTAATCACCATGTTCTACTCCCTACAGAAGCTACAGGGGACATCGGGACCACTGCTCCTGACAGAAGAGGAGAAGCGTACCCTAATTGCTGAGGGCTATCCCATTCCCACGAAACTCCCCCTCACCAAAGCGGAGGAGAAAGCCTTGAAGAGGGTCCGGAGAAAAATCAAGAACAAGGTAAAGCCTGAGCCATCCTCTGGCCCTACCCTGGGGACTTAAAGGTCTTCCCAGTGGGTGGGTGGGTGGGTGAGGGCCTCTGCTCCCCTAGTGATGTCAGCCCCCAAATTGGGGGTCCCCCAGGAAATGGATATGCAGCATTGGTAACCCCTGTTTTGGGGCCTCCCCCTCCAGATCTCGGCCCAGGAGAGCCGCCGTAAGAAGAAGGAATACGTGGAGTGTCTAGAAAAGAAGTAAGCATCCTGAAGGGATAGGCTGGGGCCCCCTCCCCAGCCTGGCCTACTCTCCCCAGTCCTCCCTCATGGGGTGCAAAAGGCAGGTGGCACCGGAGTGGCATGGTGGTGGTCAAGGCTGGGATCACTAGTGAATCTGCAGCTGCCCTGAGCCATGCCTGCTTGGTCCCTCCAGGGTGGAGACATTTACATCAGAGAACAACGAACTGTGGAAGAAGGTGGAGACCCTGGAGAATGCCAACAGGTGAGTGTTGCCACCTGCACCCATGCGGCCCCCTGAAGCCCATGCCTGGCTTTCCGCAGCCCTGGGAGACGTAGAGGGGAGAGATAAGGCGTGAAGCCCTCAAAACAGACCCTGCCACCTGGGACCCCACATCCTGCCCCTTCCTGTTTCCCAGGCTTCTTCATCCACATATAACTAGACACCAGAGGGGCTGAGGAGCCACTGAGTGAGACCTGTAGAGCAGAAGTTTTCCAAGCAGATCCTCAGACCAGCCCCATCAGTAGTCTCAAGAAATGTGTTAGAAGTGATTATTCTTGGGCCCCAAGTCAGTTTGAGAACCTTGCTACTCAAAGCCGTTTCCCTGGACGGGCCACACGGGCGTCGCTTGGGAACTTGTAAGAAAAGCAGAATTTCAGATCTCCCCAGACTTGCTGAGCCCAAATCTGCATTTGAACAAGAACTCTGGGTGCATCTTATACTTACTGGAGTTTGAGAAACATGAGTGTCCCAAGACTACCATAGTGCCTGGCACACAGCATGAAGCCACAGGTCTGGGTTCTTGCCCCACTCTGCCATTTATGTGACTCCAGGGAAATTCTGAGACCTCTCTGGGCTTCAGTTTTTTGTCTCCAGGAGGAAGGCAGAAGCACTGTCTCATAGGATTTATGTAAGGATTCTATGAAATAATGCAGTTCCTCCCTAGCGTGGTGCCTGGCATTTAAGGATGATTGATTGATTCGTGTGACTTTTCTTCTTTTATTTTAATTATTCTGAATTCTTCATAGTGCCCTGCTGCAAGCACAGGGAGATCTTAAATTATTTGGTGGGAGTAATTACCATAACAGACAATGGCCTGGTATATAGTAGGAGCTCAATACAAGACTTTTACCTCCTTTCTTCCCTTTTTCTGTCCCAGCTTGTCCTGGGGGCCCAGCCAGTCCCCTTATTGGCCTGGAGAATCACCCTCTTCTCCCAATCCCATAAGTCAGGGAAGGGGCAGGCGCCCTCAACCTCACCTCTCCACCTTGGACCCCAAATAGGGACAGGCCCTTGGTGCTATTTCGCCACCTGCTGTTCACTCTGGGGACTGCACCAGGCTGGGGGGAGGAAGATTAACCATTTGTTCACCCTCTGTGTGTACCTAGAGGACTCCAGCTGGGTGGGAGCCCACAGTAGTAATGAGGACAAAGTGTTACAGCTGTTGTGATAACAGCAAAAAAAAAAAAGCAATAAGAGGAGCATGAACAATAGCCATCAGGTACTGGCCGCCTTCATCCGGGCACTGTGCCAAACACGTCCTCATCAGCTCAGAGTGCTGTGGGGTGCGCAGGAGGGAAGGCCGGTGTGTCTGGGGCTGTAGTAGGGTAAGAAAAAGAAGGCTGCCACCCTCCCACTCCCACCTTAGCCAAGAGTGGCCCAGGGTAGCCCTGAGCTTCCGTAGGGTGACCCACACCACGAGGCAGACCCCAGGTGCTCAAGCCACACTACAGAGGAGTCACACAGGAGGTGACCTCCTCGTCTTCACGGACATGGGCACCTGGTGTAGAAGCCAGGACTGGAGCCAGCCCTGGCCCCTAGGAGAGCTCCAGGGGGCAGAAACGGCTGCCAGGCCCAAGCCTGCCTGGTGACCACTGTGCCCTCCTCAGGACCCTGCTCCAGCAGCTGCAGAAACTCCAGACTCTGGTCACCAGCAAGATCTCCAGACCTTACAAGATGGCCGCCACCCAGACGGGGACCTGCCTCATGGTAGGTAGTGTTTCCCCAGCACAGGGCCACGGGAGGACAACTCTTCCCTGGGACGGCGTTCTAGGAGGGTGGGCAGAGTTTCGAAGAATTCGTGGCATTGTGGGTGATTGTCACTGGGGTAAAGTGCCTTGTGCCCTGTGGGCTGGCCCCCAGCAGGCCCTGGCTGGCTTCACTGAACCCACAGAGCCAGGTGCCACGGGGAGCTCCCCTGACCCGTTCTAGCGTGGCGTGGATGTGCAGGTGACATCCAACTGAACCCCGCCAGGGGCAGGCCCGTCGGGGAGGTGGCTTCTGCAGAACCCACACAGTGAAGGTGTTAGGGAGGCGCAGGGAGTATGAAGTGGTTCTTTCTGGAAGGGATGGTGAAGAGGCAGAGAAAATTCCTAGAAACCCGAAAGGGCACCAGAGAGTGGCCCCACCTCGGCTCACCCCCTTCCATCCACTCCCTGAAACATGCAGCCTGGGGCCACCCTACTCAGCACACCGACCCGTGACAACCTGGGGGCAGTGGTTAGCTGGGGTCCTGACTCAGCTCCTCCTGATGGCATATGTCCCCCTCCCCATAGATGGAGCCATGGAGCACAGCCAACCCCACCCACCTCCACTACCCCTTCTTCCTCTCCTGACTTCTCCCCGGCTTAGTGCTGATAACCACGTTGCCACCTCCAGTCTCTTTCTCTAGTGCTGCCAGCGGTGCACCCTGCGATGGCCTGGGGTGGCCTGAGCAGCCCCACCTGCTCCAGAGAGGGTGGGAGACCCCACACCTAGGGGTTGGTCAGCTCTGGGAGCTGCTTTTGTGGGAAAACTAGTTTGGGGGAGAAGCATCAGGGGTGGCCGGCCTTGCTGCCCACCCCTGCCCCAGTCCTGACGGCTGCTCTCTGGGTCCCCAGGTGGCGGCCCTGTGCTTCGTTCTGGTGCTGGGCTCCCTCGTGCCCTGCCTTCCTGAGTTCTCCTCCAGCTCCCAGACTGTGAAGGAGGACCCTGTGGCCACTGAGAGCGCCTACACGGCCAGTCAAAGTGAGTACCTCCCGGAGCCGGGACACCCGCCCCAACTTCTGGGCACAAGCCAGATACAAGAGAAGAGCCGTGTTTGGGACTGGCACCATCTCCCCCTAGCTCCTCATTTTGCAGATGGGGAAACTGAGGCCTAAAGAGGGCCTATGATTTGTTCAATGTGAGCCGTAGAATTGGGAGCAGAGCACAGAGTTTCTGCTCCAGGGCCATTTATAATAAGGCAGTAATGGTTGCCGGAAGCCTTGTGTTAAGAAAGGTTCTGAGGCAGCACTCGGGACCAACAGGAAGGAGAGTCGTGCTCCATCAGCACCGTCCACCCTGGGCAGAGGAGGGGTGGTGATGGCGTGGGTGCGAATACTGCCCATCCAGTGGGGGACAGTGAGGTACAGTGGTTAAAAGCATGGAGCTTTAGAGTCTAGTTATAGGTGCCACTGCCACTTGCTCACTGAGTGACCCTGGGCATGTGGCTTCAGCTCTCTAAGCTTCCATCACTTCCTCCCGCAAGTGGGAGCTGTCACTGTGTGCTTGCTGAGCACCTCTGTGGGGCAGCCTCGGTGAGGAGGTGCATCTTAATGCTGGGGTATCCTACAAGAGCACCCTCAGCCCCTTCCGGAAGACCCAGGTGAGGAGAGGAAAGACACTGCATGAGTGGCAGGGAGAGCCTGGGCAGCCAACAATGGTGTGGCTTCCAGAGGCAAAGGGTACTTCAGCGAGACCTGTGGAAGAACTTCCAGGCTATCTTTCATATATCTGGCATATATGAGAGGAGGAAGAGGAAACAGATGGGAGGTCAGAGAGAGGGGAGATCAGGGAGGAGTGAGTTTCAAGAAGGAGGGATACTGCAAGGAGCATGAGGGGAGGAAGCTGGCGGGGGAGGGTTAGGGGAAGAGGAAGCGGGGGTGGAGAGTGAGAGCCACTCCCTGGTCAGTGGGCCTGAGAGGGAGCGAACAGGGTGGCTGCTAAGGGGGGTGGTCAGTAGGGGACACACGGCCTGTTTTTCCACGCCCAGAGAAGCCAAGGGAGAGGAAAGAATGGACACTGGGGGCTGGGGTTAGACCAAGCCTGAGCAGGAGGGGAAGAGCGAGGGATGAGCCCCTGAGAGAAAGCGCAGTGGGTCAGCCGTATCAGGGCAGAGGGCACGTCTGGGGAAGGAGGTGGTGTGGAGCAGGCTGGTTCCCCGGAACCCATGTGTTGCTCAACACCAGAGGCCGCCTTTCTCATGGACTCTTAGGTCAGGGCTGGGGCATTAGAGGGCCGATGGCAGATCTGGGTTTGCAGCCTGCCTTCATTGAGGACGAGTGTGGGACAATTTACCTGGTGGCCTGGAACTCAACACCTGCTCTGGGAAGCAGAGCTAAAATAAAATCTCCTTCCTTGCCGGGTGGGTGCAGTGGCACACGCTTGTGATCCCAGAGACTTGGGAGGCCAAGACAGGAGGTTGCAAATTCAAGGTCAGCCTCAGCAAATGAGTGAGACCCTGTCTCAAAATAAAAAAACGAAAAGAATCGTGACGTAGCTCAGTGGAAAAGTGCCCCTGGGTTCCATTCCCAGCACCAAAAGAAAAAAAGTGCCCAGCCTGGAACCCTTTCCTTAGGAAGAGCTTCTTCTCAACTGTTTCACTGAGCAGTTTCAATCGTGGGCTCTGTATTGCTCATTTAAACCTCACATCTACATGAGAATGGTCCTTATACCCCCATTTTACATAAGGGCAAACTGAGTCCCAGGAAGATTAAAGCAAAGTGCGAGACTAACTAGAGGTCACACAGCCAGGGAGTGTTAGGGCTGGAATCCAGATCCACTCCTGTAGGATTCCAGAGCTTGTGCCCTTAACGACTAGGCCATGAATGGGGCCAGACTGGAGGGAGTGGGCACCTGGGGTCACCTCTTCCACCCCCGCGCTTTCTCCCCAGTGCCCTCCCGGAGCCTCCTGTTCTACGATGAGGGGGCCGGCTCGTGGGAGGACAGCCGCGCCCTGCTGCCCGTGGAACCCCCAGAAGGCTGGGAGATCAAGCCAGGGGGGCCGGTGGAGCAGCGGCCCCAGGACCACCTGCAGCACGACCATCTGGACAGCACCCACGAGACCACCAAGTACCTGAGCGAGGCCTGGCCGGGGGACGTCAGTGGCAACGGCACCAGCCCCAACTTCTCCCACCCAAAGGAGTGGTTCCACGACAGGTAGGTGGGTGGCCCTTTCCCTTCCTGGTTCCAGGACCCACCTGCCCTCCGTCCACCTTAGCCGCACCCTCCCAGGGACCCACCCCTCCCTGTCCAGATCCCGCTGGCGGAGGGTGGAGGGCTTCCCTCCGGATAGATGGACCGACATATCACAGCTTCTCCTCTCTCCAGGGATCTGGGCCCCAACACCACCATCAAACTCTCCTAGGCCGACCCCAGAACCAGGACACAGGACGGACCCCCTGGCACCCAGAAGAGGAGTTCTCTTGCTCACCAGCCCGGATCCAGCTCGCACCCCCGCCCATCCCAGGAGAAGGGGTTCCACCTCTCCTGGCGCTCTCCGGCCACAGCCAAGCCATGGCTGGGGCCTCTCTGCACCCCCTGACATTTGGACTACCCCCTTGGGCCAACCACTCTATTGTCACTTCTTCCTCACACAAACATCCGTCCTTCTCAGATAAACCACTCACTGGGCCACACCTCCTCCCTCCTCCCTCCTCCCACACGACCACTGCCTCCCTGTCCCCCTGCCTCCCTGTCCCCCTGCCTCCCTGTCCCCCTACACACACACCACACGCAGACCCCCCCACGCCCCACCCCACCTCCCACTGTACAGAGACCAAGAACAGAAATTGTTTGTAAATAATGAACCTTATTTTTTATTATTACCCGTCCCCTAAGATATTGTATTTTACAAATCTCCCTCCTCCCTTGTCCCTTCCCTTGTTTTATATTTTATGAAGTTAGTGCGGGCTTTGCTACTCCCTGGCCGGGGACAGAGGGACTCCCCCACCCTCCCCCGGCCTCCCCCCGCCGCTGCCCAAGCCGCTGGGCCTTTTTAACTGCCAAACTGCTCTCCCCACCAGCTCAGCACATGCTTGAAGAAGGCAAAATTAAAAAAATAAAAAAAGATGCAGCATCAATTCCGGACTTTGTGCCTTTCTTCCTGGGGGAAGGGGAGCAGGACGGAGGGATGGGGGTGACAGGGTGTGTCATTTTATATTCAGGTGGGGAGGGTGGAAGAAGCCATTTCTATGGGGCTGCTTCTCCCAGACAGGCACCAATTCAGATGAAACAGTCAAAGAATTCCCTGTAGTTCCCCTGCCTTGTTGCTCAGTATGAAAGCGGAGGGTCTGCAAGCCACCATTTTGGTCTTTGGCAACTCTAAGTATCAAGCGCCTGGCATGGGCCAAGGACTGTGCTTGGTACTCTATGTGCTGAACCAAGCTCCATCCTCTAAGACCTCCCCACTCTTAGCTCCTCTGCCTCAATTGGATTAAAGGCACCACTGGAGCTGGTGTGGGGGGGTGCACCTGTAGTCCCAGCTAGTCCGGAGGCTGGGGGGCAGAAGGATCACCTAGGAGTTCAAGGACACCCTGGGCAACAGAGCTATGTCAAGAAGAAGGAAAAAAAAACCCACTAGATTGGAAGCGCCACGTGCTATCCCGGTGTGGTAGGCAGAATTCTATATAGTCTCAAAGATTCCTGCTCTTGGGCATGTGATGGCGCACACCTGGAATCTCAGGGATTTGTGAGGCTAAAACAGGAGGTTGGCAAGTTGGAAGCCAGTCTTGGCCATTTAACAAGAAAAAGAAAAAGAAAAAGAAAAAAGAAAAATGGCTGGGGATATAACTCAATGGTAAAGCACCCCTGGGTTCTATCACCAGTACAAAAAAAAAAAAAAAAAAAGATTCCTGCCCCCTGGTGTCCACAACGTGTTTAATTCGCGTGAATAATTAGATTGCCCTTTACGGCAAAAGTGAAAAGATTTTGCAGATTTAAGGAAGGTTCCAAATCAACTGATCATGAGTTCATCATAAGGGAGATGCTCTTCGGTGGGCCTGGATTAGTCAGGTGAAAGCTGGAGGAACTGGGCCCTTCCTGAACAGAGAAGGGCTCTCCCTGCAGGCATGAGGCAAACAGCCATACTGGGAAGAGGGGCAGCTTCCGGGACCTGAGTGCTAAGGCATCAAGGTCCCGAATTCTGCCAACAACTTGAACACGCTCAGGAGAGGTTCCCAAGCTCCAGGTGGAATCATAGTCTAGTGACACCTGGGCTGCAGTCTCGTCATATCCAGGGCAGAGGACCCAGGTGAGCTGGGCCGGGACTTTGAGCATAAATGAGATCGCAAAGGGTGCGGTTTTAGGCTGTCATGTTGATGGTAACTTGTCACGCTGCACAGGAGACTGACAAGCCATTCCCTGAGCCTCCGTTTCTCCCTTGGAAAACAAGGACTTAACACCCATACACGAGGCTGTGGGGTCCACGAGGTAAGCTCCAGACAGTGCTTCGGACAGACAGGGCCCAGCCCATAGTGAGTGCCAAGCAACATTAGTGCACAATTAGAGGCCATATTGACACAGAGTGCTAAGGGACAAGCCAGGGGTGCTATGAGGGTGCACAGGTAAGCACCTCACCCAGACATGAGCAGCAAAGGCTTCCTGGAGGGGGTGACAGGAAACAGGGAAGGAAGTAGGCAGGAACGAGGAAAGGGGCATTCTAGAAAGAAGGGACAGCCCGGGCCAGACTCGGAGGTGGGAGAGCAGGGAAAGTTCAAGGCAATAAAAATAGCTCATAACAGCTGGAAGGCAAAGGGCAGAGACGCTGAGAAGGCATCACAGAGAAGCAAGGGCATGGTGGCAGAATGGTCCCACAGCCGCCACCCACCAAGGGAGAAGCTAGGTGAGAACCTCAGGACTGGCCTTCAAGCCCTGACTTCCATGGTCTTCCTCCCCAAGGCCTTGGTGTGACCACCTCCAGTGGTGGAGCCCTCACTGCCAGCTACTGAGCAGTTTTAACTGCTAAAAAGCACAGGCTTCCATAGCAAGGCTGTTAGAGCCTGGGCTCTGGATCCCGAGCTATTAGTATTAGGTTATTAACAATAACTTGTGTGGGAGGGTACTGGGGATTGAACCCAGAGGCTCTCTACCACTAAGCCACACTCTCAGCCCTTTATTGTTTATTTTGAGAGGGGATCTCACTAAGTTGCAGAGGCTACCCTCCAATTTGCCATCGTCCTGCCTCAGCCTCCTGAGTCACTGGGATTATAGGCATGTGCCACTACTCCCAGCCTAACAATAACTTTTAAGCCACATTCCCCAGTACTAGGAAGGAAGAAGGAGCAGCGGGAGGAGAAGGAGGAGGAGAAGAAGAAAAAGAATAAGGAGAAGGAGGAGGAAAAGAAGAAGGAAGAGCAGGGAGGAGAAGGAGAAGGGGAAATGCGATAATTCCAGAGGTGACCAGAAGGAATGTTACCAGGTTCTGACGCCAAATTGGTGGTGGGGTGAAAGAGCAAGAATGATGACATTTCGGTGTCTGAGAACTGATGGGATGATGAGGACATTTTCCATGACAGGGAATATAGGAGGAAGAACAAGTTTGGAGGGAAAGAGAATTCTTTTTAGCACATCTGGCATTTGAGTTGCAGTGCGACACTCCCCACCAGCCTTCAAGTCTAAGGCTTGGGAGAAGGGGATCCCAGGCGGAGATGAGGAGATGGTCACCATGCAGGTGGTGTGCTAAAGACTGGGGTCTGCATAAAAGGAAGCAAGGTCAGAAAGCCAAGATGAGAGTCAGTAGGGATGGAGGAAGACTGAGAAGACATGGCAGGGAAGGGGGGAGAAGCCCGAACTGAGCGTCCAGAAGGTGATGGAGCAGACAGCTTCCTGGAGGGGTGGCCAGTGTCAGATGCCATGTGAGTGGATGGGGAAGATGAGAAGAAGGGATAGTGGGGAGTGGCCCTTGACTTTGGTAGGAGCTGTGTCAGGGAAGAGTTGGGGCAGGAGGGAGGGGAGCCAGGGGAAGAGGAGCGACAGAAGTGAAGGAAGGAGGGAAGCCCCTTAGGGGGACTCAGCTACGAAGGAATAGAGGGCGGCAGCTGGAGGGGGGAGATGGAGGGCAGTTCAGGACTGTTTTTCAGAAGGCAGAGCGTTGACTATGGTTACTTCCAGAAGACAAAGAGCCAACAGAGAGAATGATGAAGGTATCACAAAGAGGGAGAAAGAAGGATGGCGGGGGGGGGGGGGATCCAGGGAGCGGGCGGAAAGGTCCACTTGGACTGGAGAGGCCTGGGCAGAAGGGGGGGACATTTTGTGGGTACAGAATGTCAGGAGACAGGAAACAGGGAGTCCTCAAAAACTTCCATGTATGGGGTGGGGCAATATGGAGGGATGACATGGGAGTCGAGTTGGGGAGAAAGGGGACAGTTTGAAAAGAGCACTTGGAAGAATGGTGGGGGAGATGGTCTGACCCCTCATAATTAATTCACTTGTTTAACAATATTTTCTGGGTAACCCTCAGGTACACAGGACTGTGCTAACATTGGAACTCAAACAAGACAGGGCGCCTGAGGTTAAAGGACTTGAAATCTGTCACTCTCCTGTTTTTGACTAGTTGCCATGTACCAGACATTGAATGGAGAATTTACACATCCCAGGTAGGAACCCAAATCATCCTAAAGGGAGGGTATCTATCATGCAGATATTAAGTCTCATGCTGGTATCTGAACCCCGTTCTGTTTGGTTTTAGAGTGCATGCTGCCCCCACCCCTCCCCTCAGCACCCCTCTCGGTCTCCTCTAGACTTCCCTCCCCTTCGGCTTTATATTACAGCACAAGATCCATGAGCAACTAATCCAGAGAGCCCACGCCAACGTGTGGTCATCCGGGATCCCCTCTCTCTTCCAGTCCGTCCCAGGCAGCCTTCCCAGCTTGTGTTGGGATGCAGGGTTAGTGCCCTCCCGAAAGCCACCCATTGATACACTGCCTCCCCAGGCGTGCATTACAACCTCTGAGGTTGTAATGTCCCCAGTGCATTCCAGCAAAGGAATTGCAGCCCCCTCACACTATTGTCAGTCCTGCAGCCTGCTTTGCCACAGCACATGCGGTGGCTTTTACAGTGCCAGTCACCCCGCAGAGATTGCCATTACAAACCCTTTTTTATACCTGGACACCAAAGCTCTGAAAGCAGGGAGGTGGTGGGGCATGCCTGCAGCAGGGATGTACAGTGCAACCTCTGGATCCCAGAGGAGTGGTCAGCTTATTTGGGCACCTGTCAGATGTAGGTGCCGTTTGGGTCTTTCCCATAGGTGGAGGGGACAGGCTGGGATCTGAGCTATGAAGGCATCAGAGTTGCTTGGTCATCAGAGTGGCAGTTAAGGGAAGGGCTCTGAGGTCCCTGTTGCCACTTGTGTGTGGTCTCGGCAAGTATCTTACCTCTCCAAATCTCAGTGTTCTGTCTGTAAAATGGTCGCCACCCTCACAGAGCTGCTAGGAGGGTAGATGAAAGCTCCGATGGAGACATGAGCACTTATTCTCTGAGCACAGGGATAATGAATGGGCTGGAGATCAGCCGTGGGCTGCAACTGGAAGAGATTGCAGAAGGTGGTGACGCTGGTTAAGGGAGGGGACCTGCATATTTCCTCTCTTCTTGGGAGGAGGGCAGAGCCACTGCCAAAAGATAATGCAGTCAGCAGCTGGTCCTAAGTGGGGAGGTGTGAGCATGGCGAATGAAGTCTCACTTTAAAAAGGACTGAGTGGGGAGAGCTCTGCGGGAAAGAACTAAACAAAAACCCAACCTGGAAACCCAGCAGCTAGGCAGCTGGTGAGTGAATGTCAAACCCAGCCAGAACTACCATAATTCATGGTGTAGGAGGCTACCATGGGCCAGGAAATGGGAGCCAAGAATCCAAGAAGTGCAGTCCCAAGGACAGCTGGGTGGGTGCTCTCAAGTGCCCAGACCCCACCCAGACCCCTCACAGTAGTACATCTTTCAAACTTGGCTTGAGGGCGAAAATCCTCTGTGGCTAAGAAATTTAATTCAATCTTTTTCATCCAATAGAGGTTGCTGGACCAAGAGAAGGTGAGAGACAGCAGCCTGGTCCCTGCCCATTGGGAGCTCACAGATTAGAGGAAAGCAAACACCG